GGTGTCTACATCATCACTCCATGATAAGAACTTGCGACATTATTAACAAAAACAGACATCAAAACACGTGGCGCAAGGTAGCGAACACGGCAATATGTCTTACCTGTGTCGTTTTCTGATCAAAAGTCGTGTTCAATGGCATTAAAACGAGAAAAAACGCGGCTGAAGGTTAATCCATAGGTTAATCCAATGTGTCTGTCACTTTGAAATTGATAATCCATAATTCAATTTTTATGCAAAAATCGGAGAATACAAATTAGCTGCTAATGGTAGCCACCAGAGGTTAGCGCAGCTTCCGGTTTTTCTATGCGTCACTCTCACTCCTTATTTGGTAACCTGTGTGTGTATGTGGAACTTTCCCTCGATTCCATTGGCTCTGACGGTTAAAAAGAGATGTCAATCACCAAAATGGAGGCGTGTGGCGCAGTGGATAGAGCGTTGGTGTTCAGATCAGGGGAGCACAGGTTCAAACCCCACTGCAGTCAGCATGTCGTTGTGTCCCTGGGCAAGACACTTCACCCCAAATTGCTCCTGTGGGGATTGCCCACAGTATTGAGTATGTAAGTCGCTTTGGATAAAAGCGTCTAACAAGTAACATGTAATGTAATGTAAAAATCGACCAAGGGGGGCCAGAGATATGGAAAATCCAATAACCCCAGAAGTGGTTTTTTTGTTGCTAAATCTCATCATTCAAGGCTGGTTTTCACTATAAGTAAAAAAGAATTTTTGGACGGACAGTATAATTTACAGTTTTTTACTATATTCAATCTGAATTTTCTTTAAAATGAAAAACATCTATATTGATTCTGACTTCTCTACATCCAACTCAAAGGTTTATCATTACTTTGAGAATGTTCCCCTTTTAGAAGTGTAGTTATGGTCATTTGTTCTGGAAATGTCATTTTCGAGCCTGATGCTGCGTTCACACTGGACGCGATGCGATGTTTGGGGGCGGCGCGATTACATGTAAAGTCAATGCAGAGACGCGGACAGACGCGAATTCGCTCCGACGGCGAGCATGAAGCGGTGGACGCGGCGCGAATCACGCGATTGAACGGTGCCGCGTTAAACGCGAGAGTTCAATTTTTTCAACTCGAGCGTCAAATTCACGTGACGCATTCTCGCGGAAGCCAATCAGCGGTGAGGATCTCAGCCGCCCTCACTGACGTTCAACCACACAACATCAGCCGTTAGCTGTTAGCAGTTAGCACACAGAGCTCACAGCTCCTCATATCTGTTCAGAAACTGGACAAAAGTTAAACAAGTACAAACCACAGACTGTCTGTGTCATGGCGAATACAGTCGCTGGTTTATGTCTGTAGGTCGTTGTTATGAGTGTGGAATGAGCATATACAACGTTAGCTTAGCCTGGTCGACCCGATCTTCATTCAGAAAACAAGCATTTTAAAAGGTTTTTCGCCTGCCGTCTTGTCTGCAGACTTGTCAAGCATTAATTCATGGTTTTTACTAACCGGTATCAGTATGTTGTTACTTCGGCATCATTTAGAAACGTGTATTACAATTTAATTACGGTAAAATATGTTCATTTTGTTGTAGTTGTAGCTCCCGAGCCAGCGCGTCTTGTTTGAATGATGCGAGTAAACACAGCTGGCAGCCGCGGTGAAACTCGAGCGTTTAGAGCGATGCGATAGGACAACACAGTCTCACTGCATTTCTCTCAGACATTATACAATTTAAAATAAAAGGGATAGGGTTAGGCTTAGGGTAAGATATTGAGTAAGAACATGTTTTTATGAACCACACAGCTTCTGGTCTTCCAAGACCCGACCGGACAAAAAGACGTGTTGCAGGCACGAAACATACTACCAATAGAAATACATTGCATTTAAAATCGTTGTGTGACACGAAAAAAAGGTGAAAATCGTATTGGTGAACACGAATCAATAGATTAAATTAATTTCGTGACTAATAACACGAAATGCCGTGAGACTGGGTTGGATAGGAGCGATTAGAGCGAAGCGAATATTCGCATCGCGTCCGGTGTGAACGCAGCATGAGACCTGAAAAACAGGCTTGGGGCCTAACAGGCTAATGCAGTTCTGATAGAAGCAGGAGAGACACCTCTGGAGATCAGAAGAGAGAAACTTGCTCTGTTATACTGGGTCAGGCTACAAGGAAGTGGAGAGGAAAATATCACTGATGCGGCTTTCACACCAGCGCTTTTCCCTTTCTAGCTCCTAGCTAGAGCTTTTCTGGTTCAGCTCCGGTTTCCCTTTTCAGCTCCCGCTCTGTTCACACCGCCCAGCTGCCGCTGCTGCGTCATGACGTCACCGTTTACATCGCTGATTTTCTCCCCAACGGAGCTCACAACAACAACGGGGGGGGGGGGGGGGGACTGCGTCGGGTCGATGATCGTGTTGCTTTTAATCATACGAAGCCAGATTAAATTAAATAACGACTTCTCCAACCTTATACTTTTCTCCTGAGTGCCGTGGTTCATTGTTTATTCATGTGTTTCAGCGGCATTTACCGACCGCTGCAGTGCTGGCTGCTCTTCCACGGGAGTTTATTCTCCCGTTAGCTCCGGGTTAGCTCACACGGCTCTATTCACTGTCTGACTGTCACACAAGCAGCTGATACATATCCCCAGTTCCCCTTAAGTGAATGTGTGTCAGTCTGAATTGACGCTGTTTGGCATCACAATGCTGTTATGAAAGTTTCTCTGGTATAACATGGGTGATGTTAGCATAGCAACCGAAGCTAAACTGACTACTTGCTAAGCCGTTTTCTACAGGCACATTTTACCGGCGTATTTTTCATTATGATTCTACTTGTGATAGTCGGACATGACAACCTGTGCAGCCCATGTATTGATTCCATCCGATAGCTGCTATAATAACAAACAAAACGTCTGCCTGCTCTCCACAATGATCAATAACAGCGAACGGATGGTCAAAGTAAGGTACAAATAAACAGAATCACACAAAGCCTGGTTAGTGTTGCCTGACTTTATAAAGTGTGTTTTTTTTTTATAAGTGTGTGGTTGCCTTCTAGTCACTTTGCTCAGCGCTACTGCTTGTAGGCAGGCATGACGAGACTCTTCAGTCGACCCATGTTCAGGGGAGGTGGGTTTAGTTTCCTGCACGCCTCGACGTAAGAGAGACGTAAGCGACGCCGCGTCATAGCTCCGAAGCTCTTGCCTCTAGACCGACAATTTTTTGGAGCTGGAAGTGAACCGCATTCCGGAGCTATGACGCGGCGCCGCTGCGGTGTGAACAGGAAAAACCGGCGCTTTTCCAGCTCCAGCTCCGAGCCGGAGCTGGAAAAGCGCCGGTGTGAAAGGAGCAAAACAGAATACTACAGGATTACTGGGAATATACAAAGTTCCAGGGGCGTGGGTTTGGCTGGACAAGTAAGGAGAGAACGAGGGCATATGGAGTGGAGACCATAACGTTTGCCAAAGCAAGCCCATTTAGCAGTGTTCCCCCATGGCTTTTCCCATAAACTAATATAGATGTGAGTATCATAGAAAGGAAAAAAGAGTGGCAAATAAATGAAGTGGGAATTAAAACGAGTATGTACCTGAACGAAAAGTATTACAATTACCTCAACATTTATACAAATGGATCTAAGAAGCAAGAATGCGTGGGGATAGGCGTTTATATCCCAGAATTCAAAATATCAATCTCAAAACGAGTGTCAAATAATTTTTCAGTTTATACAGCAGAAATACTTGCAGCAATGATTGGGCTACAATGGGTTGAAGAGGTCAGTCCTGATAGGGTGATATGCACAGAGTCACTATCTGCTTTGCAAAGTATACAGTCGACAATAACTGTTAGAGAAGATCTAATTATTGAACTTAACCATTGCTTACTGAGACTTCAGAGAAGGGGAATACATGTGCAGTTATGCTGGGTGCCTGCACATAAGGGGGTTAAAGGGCATGAACATGCTGATAAGTTTGCAAAAGATGCGTTACTTAAAGTGGACCTATCATGCTATATTTGAATAATATAGTGTAGGACCATACCTATATAAGGCATATTTATACTTTTTTTTTCTTCAAAATACCAAACAGATCATGCATTTTAGCCATGCCTCATTTCGCTCAATTTGCACTCTGTTTTTGCAAGGGCTGATTCAGTCAGAACAGCACCACCTACAGGCCTGGCATATGTACTACAGCGTCTCCAGCGCTTTCGAACGGCAATGGCCGTGGCTGTCTCTTCCTGATTGGTGGAGTTGGCCCAATAGCCGTAGCGCCACCGTCCTGACGTCAGGACAGTGTTCAAATCTGGATCAGTTTTTATCAGATCCGTTGCAGCCCCTTTTTTAGAGATTTGGGTATGGAGGAAAATAGAGAGGGTTGTGTTTTCTGACACTTGGTGAGTTCCCTGGAACACCGGGGACACATATTCATGTATAAAAGACGTACAAAAGTGCATTTTGCATGATAGGTCCCCTTTAAGGAAATAGCAATACCAGTTTCACTTGGAAAAGGAGAAGGAAAAGTAATAATTAAGAAGAAGGGTATGGAAATATAGCAGAAAAGGTGGGAGGAAGATCAGAAAGGGAGGAGATACCACAAGTTACCGAAATTAGTCATAACAAAGATCTATACAGAAAGGAACAGACGGGAGGAGATCATCATCACTAGACTCAGACTGGATCATACAGGATTACACGGCACAATGTTAATAATGGGAAAAAGTTAAGTTGAAGAATGCAGGGGGTGTAGAGTGAAAGAAAATGTGGAACACAACACATCATATTACACTGCAACATGTACAAAACAGAGAGGGAAAAACTAAGAGACAGGGTCAGAGAGGCAGGAAGGGAGTGGCGCCTGATGGGGATACTGGGAACAGAAGGTGAGGGGGTAAGAACTACCAGGAAGGCCATTTTTAAGTATTTTAGTGAAACAGGATTGATTGGAAGAATTTAAAAACAAAGTAAACACAGTGGTATAATTCCACAAGTGGTGATAGGTTGATATGGTGATACACACTCTTGTACAGTAGGTGGCGGTATGCACCTTAAAGTTGTTTGTAATCCGCCAAAAACCGAGAGAAGAAGAAGAAGTATAATCCTCCGCCGTCGCCGTGGATCGTGCGTCGTCTTCGCAGGAGTGGCGTCGGAGTTGACTGAGATGAGAATCATTTTACGGTGAGGTGTTTTTTGTTGACCCGCGGAGATGTCCCTTTCAGCCGCACAGAGCTCATACACCAGCAGCCGGAGGAGGAGGCCGGCTGAACACGACCAAGGTGAGCGGCTGAGGCTCATGCTCAGTTATGGAAAAAAACAACTTTATTTGTAACTAGCAGACTATGTCCTTTACAGCGCTCTGAACGCATTCTCCATTGTAATTCATTCCCTTAGCATACTGTGTATTAACTGTGATATCATCATGTGCATGGAAAGAGTAAACACGCAGAGTGTTGTTGCAAGTTTGACAGTCACGTCGTGTTGATTACGACGTAGTTCCTCACTCCGTGTGTGCTCGTGTGGGGGGGGGGGGGGGGGGGGGGGGGATATATATTTTTAAAATCCTCTGGGGCAGAGAGAGGAGCTGTGGACTATTGTTATTGATTAATGCATCAGTGTTTCTTAGGGTCACAAACACTAAACTCACAACTTGTCACCAATAATGTATAAAATATGTGGAACATGTTGAAGTCAGTATGAAGTCTCCATCAGACAGAAGAGATTAGGCTGAGACAGTCTGTGTGTTTGTGTGACTTCTTATATCTTCTCGCAACTAATGCACCCTTGCATGGCCAACACTGGTATTTTTTACATTTGTTCTACAGGAAGCAAATACCAAAACAGAAAGAGGAAACTTGTGAAGGCACTGTTTTAAGCAGCTTTAAAGGAGAAGTCACGATTCTTTCTGCTTGCTTGTCTCATGATACCAGACAATCTGTCTGTATGCATTAATTCATCAAGGCTTTATCTTCTCAGAGACCAACCCTGGAAATTAAAGCATTAATGAATGACCTAGGGCAATGTCTACCTTTCGCTTAATTGCAGTTCCTCCGCAGAACAAATCCAGCTCTTGTCAGGCAGTCAGAGGCAGTAATCACTTCAAAGATGGATGGATAGATGAATAGAACAAAATAATATCTGCCCCTGAGGTGAAGTTTGTTATCAGTGAACTGTACACAACTAAATACATTAACACGTATATATGCAGTCAGTGTAGTCATGCATTTATTGCTGCAATGGCTTCTAGTTAAATGTCCTTAAATGAATATGAAATTGAAATTGATGGCCACGGTCATGTGATGCATGTGATGGCTCTGGTTGAGGTTTGGAAGGGCAATCATTTTGGAAGCAGTGAGTGTGGTGTCTTCATCCAATATGCAACTTTACACAAATATGATTTAGAAAACAGACCTACATTATTATAGATTTTTCAATTGGGTAGAAGAAGTCAATGTAATTGTAATAGTTCTTAAATATTTGAATCACTTGTTTTGGGACTACATAAAACATTTTATCATTGGCAATCTAAATATTTTATTGCTTTGTGTTGCAGATCTTCCACAGGAGCATGATCCCCAGGCCAGTCTCGATCATGAACAGTTCCACGACCGACTGACAAATCCCACAGACACTCCATCTACAAATCACTCTATATGCCCTGCACTGTGCACAACTAAATGCATGCCTGCACACACATGTAAGTAATGGGTACCAGCACTTGTTTCTTTTTTTTAAGTAACCGCAATGCCTCTTTTTAGTTACAAATATATTCATCATTTTGTTGCTTGTCAATTTAGGTCAGAGTCATCATGCCTATGATGAAAGCTGGGAGGAGATCCAAAGCAAGAGAACCATCAGAGCGGAAAACGAAGTAGAAGCAAACAAACTAGTCAACAACTACAGGGTAAGAGGTCTATAGGCAACTGTCTTTTCTACGCAAATCAAAGTAGTTTGAGTGCAGCACAACTGACAGGACAATCCATCACACAAACTCAGTATTTGGTGTGTGTGTGTGTCAGTTTGGTTTCAGAAAGTGGAAGAGCCATGTGACGGAGCGTCCATTTGAAGTCAGGTCAGAGGTTGTGAAAGAGCTCTACTCTGAACTGAACGTCATCAAACCATATTCAGGTAGGGGTATTGTGCTCACTGTGTATATATGCAAAGATGATTCAGGTTTATCACAATTTGGGAAATGATTGATAAGACAATTACATGTGTTGTAAACAAGCCAACAGTTTAGCTATGTGACTTACAAAACCAAAAGCCTAATGCTGTGCTGCATAGAAAGCAGTCCTAAACCGAAAGCAGTCCTAAACTCACAAAAAAAGCCATATTGATAAGCAACAAGTAAGGTTTATGTTCATCAGAAAACTCCAGAGTGTTTAGGCTGTTTACCCAGAGGACACCAAAAGGACAACCAAGATATATTTTTTTCAATAAAAATAAAATCCCTTACAACAAAATTAGGTAAGTGCTGTAAAGTTTTACACTTTTCTCACAGGAGTTATGTAGTGTAAGAACAGGCGTTATGAGATGACACTGTGTTCCCAGATCTCAGCATCTAACACAACCAATACAATATTGTAATTATTACTGAGAGAACATGCATTAAAAACCACAGAAATAAGATCTAAGCGAGTACTTTCATTGATTGATTTTGTTTGTCTTGGTGTTAGGTCATCTCATCACTTGTGGAAACGTAGCATATGTGCTTCTCTTCGGTTGGTGGATCTCTCTGGCCTATTTCCTGATTGGCCTCTTTATGTTCATCACTATCACTGGTGTACCCTATGGTATGTGGGCCATTCAACATGGATACATTTATTGTTTATTATGCATACAGTACATGCATCTTTTCTCTCACTCTTAAGGCAAGCTTTGCTTGAAGTTGTCCTGCTACTTCCTGTGGCCCTTCGGCAAGTCAATCCATGAGGTACAGTTTGGGTTCAGTTTATGTTTGAGATGTTCCGCTGTTGTCTCTTTATCAAGCATAAATGTCAAACATCCATATCCTCACATTTTAAGATATTAAAGCGCTGTAAATGGGATTTATTTGGCCTGTTGATCAGATAAAACACAGTGTTGCGGCCAAAATCATATAGAATGAAACAGATAATTAACTCAAAATAACACTGCCGCTGAGCTACTAGTTAGCGGATCTTACGCAGGGCAATGATCATCCACGTCAAGACAAGAATCTCCATTTGTGCATGTATTATATGATCCAATATCATTAACATAGAACAATGAGCATGTTTCCTATCTTTCTTTCCTTTAGTCTTTCCTATGGCTTCCTTTCTTGTGGCTTGAAAAACCCTGGTAAAAAAAAAACATGTGCCTACTAGTGCTCTACTCCCACCACCTGTCTCCAATATATACAATTACACCAGGTGCACCCAGTGCCCAAACATGCCTTCAAAATAAAAGCATAGAAACTACTTTAATAACAATAATAACTAAGAATACATTTACTATAAACAATCACAGCAAGAAAACAAATGTTTAAGTATTAAATAATATAAAGCGATATATATCTCCAACACACAGAATCTGAAGACTCCACCTAGGCTTTAGAAAAGGTTAACTTCTTTCTGACACAAAGGATTAATTACTTGAAAGAAAATCAGTCATCCAGTAGGGATCAATCACCATATTTAATGTTACTAATGCAAAGTTAGTGCTCTAACGAACACAAAATACAACTTTATTTGTGTTCATCCAGATTGGAAAAACATTGAGGATATGTTGTGAGCAAGCACCAGACTGTGAGTGTGACTTGGAGCGGACGGAAGATGACTCCCCAGTCCTGCTGCCGTCCCCCACAGACGGGCCGGTCCCAGAGCTGCCAGGACGACCTCTCCGCACTCCCTACTGGGTAACTTCAAATTCACATAGAAACAGCACATGAACACGGTGCTAATCTTTTACACCACCTGACAATTACAGGTTGAATTGGGCATTGACTTTTATGAATTGATTGGATAAGACAAAATAATAAGTTCTCCTATTGCATACATTTCTTGTTTTTTTCAGTTAAGTTTTTTTATTTTCAATAAATCTTTTACAGCCCTGCACCATTTTACAAAAATACAAAAATTCCCTTTACACACAGCACTGTCAAAGCTTTATCTTTTTAACTGCAGAGTTTACATTACATTTAATGTTGTCTTGATGTCTGGGTAAACAGTGATCCTTTAGATTTAAAAGGCTTGTAAATATAGTCAACTTTGATCAAATACAACGTTATTTACCAACATCAATACTGTAGCTCTTGAAAATGCAGAGTGGCTAGTAACTTTGGGAATCTACTAGCCACAGCGTCTGGATAGCAACAAGGTCATTTCAGGCCCTGTTTATGAATGACTAATTTCTCGCACATCAGTTGAAGGATATTTGTTTCCCTTGTTGTGTAGCGTCGCTTCTCCACCTATGTGTGGCTGCTGCTGGGATATCCTCCTCTAGTTGTAATTCACTCCCTGGCCTGCTTCATCTCCTGGATCCTGGTCTTCACCATCCCTGTTAGCAAGATGAACGCACGGACACTGGGCGTCATCCTTCTCCTGGCTCCTGAGGACGTCTCTGTCACCTCCTGCACACAGAGGAAGGCAAGGCAAATATGTAATATTTATAACCCACAGCACATCAACCTGGAGATGTTAGCAGTGTTGGTTGAATGCACTTTTTATTTTGCTTGATCCTTAGCATCAAATCTATGAGACCAGAGCACTGCTGTGCTGCTACCAGGCGACAAACTGGTACTACTACAAGTACACTGTTGATGGGATCAATGTGTTCGCTGTCAGTATCCTTTACTGGTGTGAAATATGTGTCAGTATCTTAGTACTATTGAATTACTTTTTCAATTACAATTGTTTTCATTATGAAGAAAAAGATTATAGGGATTAAACAATTATTGTACCGCTGTTTAGCAATAGTGCTTTGGTTTTTCTTGCGTTATATTTCCTGTGCCCTTCCTTTAAAGCCGGGGGCTTCTGCCTGTACTTGCTGAGTTACTGACTGGAGTATGTTGAATATAGCTGACCAAAATGCTGAATTTATGTAGTTATGTGAATTTATGTTGTGGCAGTGCAATGTGACATAATTTTGATCTAATTTATTTTGGTCAAATATACTAATAAATATAGATTATTTTAGATATGAATATTAAACATTAGAAGTTGCCTGTATGTTTTTTATTATTATTTTTATATTATTTATTTAAATATGTATTTAAATATATAGTTTTATTATGTTTTTGGGGAGTTTTTTTACTTGAAAAATAGGTTTTTCAGTTGAATAAACGTTAAAGTTCAAGAAAAACCATGATTTAAATTAAAACAGTTTTCTTTTTAAAACACAAGATTTTTCAGAGAATAATTCTACCCTCAATGTTGACCAAAAATAATCGTTATTCTTATTTTTTTAGTATGCCACAATAGAGCATTCCTAGTTTCATAAGAAAACCTGTTAACATCTTTAACTGCCTTCTCAGACCTCCTGCCTCTGGTAATAGTTGCCATTGTAATTGGATATATTGACAGAGAAAACCAGTATGCCAGCTCTGACGTCAAGTTTGCCATAGCAATCTGCTCCATCATACCTCTGTCTTATTATATCGGTATGGGCATTGCCAGGTGAGCTGTTTTCATCACTTTGAAACACACAAAGAGATTTTCCCTAAAAAGCACCTTCTGATGTCAATTCTTTATCATTTTTGACAGTATCTCAGCTCAGAGTAACTTTGCAGTGGGTGCGGTAGTGAACGCCACCTTCGGCTCCATCACAGAGTTGACCTTCTACATCACAGCCTTGCTCAGAGGTCACCGGGCAGCCAACCCGTGTCTGCAGGAGGTCGTCAAAGCAGCGCTGACTGGCACTTTGCTTGGCTGCATCCTCTTCATCCCTGTGAGCCTTCCTGCATTTACATCACATTTTGCAGCTTTTACTCAAGAAAAACATAAAAAGATTTAAAATGAGCGCCAGTTTAAGAATGTAAACGGAGAACTTACCAACAAACCTTTGCCTTTTAAAAGACCTTTGCCTCACCAACAGTAACAAGTCTTAAAAGTGTATTTCTTTTAATACTGTATCATTTCAGCAATCAGTGAAATCAAAATGGAGACAAGAGTCCCTTTCATATCACACTACCAATACAGCATGTGCAGTATGAATTTAGGCCCTCATTTTGTTTTTCTCTCAGGGCATCTGCATGATAATCGGAGGACTGAAACACAGTGAGCAAAGATTCAACAGTCGCTCTACAGGAGTGAGCGCTGCGTTGCTTTTCATCTCTGTAGGAGGCAAGTATTTACACACACTATATCCTGTACCTTTAGGCTGTAACCGTTTCGAAAGTGTAGACAATTTTCTCCTTTCTTGCTGTGTTTTTAGATGCAAACCACTTTATGGAACTGGCCTCCCTTACCTAACAAAATGATTTGTACACATTTAGTAAGCTGGAGAAGCTGTTAGCTCTTACTCTACATTGCCAGCAGAAAACCCTTTTCATTGTATGTGTTTTATTTAACACTTGCAGAGCCTGTTTGCTGGAATAAATGCTATAGTATACACATTTATACATAATTTCTTCACATACTTCTGCAGTGGATATGAATTGATCAAACAAAAACTGTGTAACTTGTGGGTGTAAAACACCAAATGTTAGCTTTTGAAGGGTTAATAAATGAACACATGTTTTCCTTAATACCATACCCATAAACCAGGCTTAACATGAATAATTGTAATTGTAGAAAGTTGCATGTTCTGATTTATTCAATAGATAAAGTAGAGATCAGGAGGTTATTTCAGTAATGACAAGTTCATACAACAGTCAAAAATGCAGCTACACATTACATCAAATGTGGCAGCAACAGAACCAGCAACAGAGTTTGTTACACTCTGTTTCTGTCTGTCAAAATTGAAATCAAATGCAATATAAAAGCTTTACCAATGTCACACACTGTCTGTCCATGGCAGGTGTGTTTGCCCCCACGCTGTTCTCCAAGGCTTATGGAAGTCTGGTGTGCGACGCCTGCACCAACTCCTCTGGAGGAAACAGCAGCGGGGCGTTTGTCTGTCACAACTGCCACTACGACCTGGTCAGCATTAGAAGTCTCAGCCTCACCAGCGCATCCTAACAAAAAATATATTACTTACTTCCACTGTATAATGTGCTTTTAATTTTTTTCCAACAGAACAATGGTACACTGTTCCGCAACCATGTGGAGTAAGATATATTTTTTTAAGTCTCGTCTCGTAAAATCTCTTCTTGTTGGTGCATTTAAAACCCTGACACCAAAAGTTAACATTTCCACAATGTCCGTGTTTGCTTGTTTTTTGTCACACATTCTCAAATGTTTTGAGCTAACGTTTTTTATTTGTCTTACTTCTCATTTAATGTGCATCGTGTGTTCTTGTTGCAGGCCACTGGTGTACACAGTGTCTGCCCTCCTACCAGTTGCCTACATAATTGGTCTGATATTCACACTGAAGACGCACTCCCACATTTATGACATCCATGTTGGAGGCGGACAGGGTAGGACTCTCCCTCTCGTATTTCACGTTTAAAGAAGTTGTAAGGAGTATCTTATCCAAAGGCAGAGAAAAGCAATATACAGGTTTTTTTCTATGCTGGTACTCATGTCTGCTTCTCCAAATGGGGTGGGGTCCTGACTGACAATCTACTGTACAAACCCACTTCAAAACATCCTCTTAAACACATAGGTGTACCTTGAATTATTCCACTAGAAGACAGTGAAAGGTGGTCTAATGCTAAAATAATCTCTTTGCTTGTCTGTGCAGAGAATGGCCCCCATGGAGCAGTGGTCCACTGGTCACGGTGGAGGTCTCTGGTCATCCTCATCATGGCTACTGTGCTCACGTCTGCTTGTGCCGATCTAGCCACCGAGCACATCCAGCCCATACTAAACCAGCCCAACGTCTCTCAGGTCAGGACGTGCTTCTGAGCACATGCAGTCAGTTTCGATCTGGTGGTCTTCCTCTGGTCGTATCAACGCTTTTCTCTCCTTCTACAGTATTTCATCGGGGTGACAGTTCTCGCCATGGTGCCTGAGATCCCAGAGATTGTAAATGGGATCCAGTTTGCTCTCCAGAACAACATCAGTCTAAGGTAAATCCTGTCTTTTTTTTAATGGTTAAAATTAAAAAAGTGATATCTGTACATTAATTATTTTGTTTTTCAGCTTGGAGGTGGGAAGCTGTATTGCTGTTCAGGTCTGCATGCTGCAGATTCCAATTCTGGTCTTATTCAATGCCTGCTACGTAAGACTCCCTTTCCTCTATGTTCAGTTTAATCATTGATTATTTCATAAAGTACCCACATTGTTTGCTGTTTTATAGTTTCTGTAATCATCTCTTTTGGACAGGATGTGGGATTTGTGCTGCTGTTCAGTGACATGCACCTGTGGGCCAGTATGTTCAGTGTGATTCTGGTCAACTACATCTTCATGGACGGCAAGTCTGATTATTTTCAAGGTAAGTTTATTTTGTTTTGATATTTTATGTAACAAACCAGTGATAATAATTCACCAATAGTAACCACTTGATATTTGCTGCCCCCTTTGTGTAATGCAGGACATTTGAAAAGTAAGAATCTATTAGGTCCATACTGGGGGTCCCGCATGTTTGAGATAATTTATTTACAGATTGCTACTGCTCACCGTTTTAAGAGCTCGTCAAAAGTTTTAAGATGAACTCCTTTGATGATTTGAAAACCAACTTGCTTAATATCTATCACTGTTCTTATTTTATGTATCTTGCCAGGACTCCCCCATGAAATAAACGTTTATTCGTAGTGGTTATCGTCCTGGTTAAGTAAAATGCATATGCTATGTTGTTAGATGATTTTAACCTAGAGAACAAATAGTCAGCACACAAGGTTATTGTGATAAGGGTGTGAATGTGTTTATTTATTGCATTACAAAAACATCAATAGCTGCAACCTTGAATGCACCAAAGAGACTAAGAGCCGAGTTAAGTCCTTGATCTCGATAACTTTGCTCATATACTTGAAGAGATTTGATTATATAGGTCAAGGAGTTTTATATAGCCAAAGATATTCAGACCTATAGTATAGTTAATTTTTTGCATGCCAATTCAGTATGGTGGATTGATTGACTGTAATCTTAACACATTGGGGATCACATGTTTAACCCTATGACATGTTACTTTCTGTCCCCTCAGGCACAGCTCTGGTGGTCGTCTACCTCATACTGCTGGCTATGTATTTCTTCGCTCCATCTCCAACAGGCTGCTGACCGTGGGACTTTCAGCCCAAGTTACTTTTTAAAGTCTGAAAGTCATTAGGCCCAATTCCAAACTGCCCCCTTCAACCTACCACTAGACACTTCCTCCCAGTTTGCACATTCACTTCATACATTTTATTGTAAAGTTTTGAATATATACACACACACAGGCACGGTTCCAAAAACTAAGCAGCTTATGAATATCACATTCTCAAACAAAAGTAGTTTTAAGTTATTTTATTGTCCAAGAGATCCTGATTTGAAACCGTTATGAAAGTTACGGCATTTCCTGTTACTCCTGGGGAGAGGAGAAATGCCACTGTATTTACACCCTCCACCTGAAAGAAGGGAACCTAGTTTAGCCGTTAATGAGACTACGCCACCTACCCACTCCGTCACAGAGTGGGAGTGGGGCGGTTTGGAATTGGGCCTTAATGTGAAATGTAAAACCCCTCCCTTTCTGACTACATTCAGTGTAAATTCTGACAGGTTTTTAGTCATTATTTAAAAGTCCGTACAACCATGCAAATGAACGAGCCTTTTAATGTCAGGTAAGTTGCACATCTATACTACTGTAAAATGCAGCGTTTGTACGATAACATATTTAACAATGTCTCCTTAAACTCACTCTTACGGTCTTTGTAAACTGAAGAGAACATCTGTATGTTTTGTTTGATAAAATACAACTGAATAGTATATAAAGTATCTGCACTAAACCTTTTTGTTAAAAAAAAAAAAAAGGTACTGGTATGTTTAAACTTTAACTCCAAAATGTGAAAGATAATTTTGATGTAAGTGACATTATTTTAGATAAAACACTGGTACCCTATATTTGGAAAGAGTGGCATGGCTGGCTGTGCTAAGCCAGAATAATAACTCTTGTCAATACAACATTTTGAAAAACTGTCTGCCTGTGTTTTTATTGTTTGTACAGACAGGACCTGAAAAACATATGTACATTACAGCCATAGTTGCTTTTGAGAAGACATTCACCTTTTCTCACGAGAATTTATGTAAAGTGACATGCACACCATACCGACATGCAAAGGAGATCATTTGACTTTCTTTGAACATCAAAAATGATGCCAATATAAACATGTCAATATTATGCAAGGCAGTCCATTTTACAAGTCGGAGTATGTAGTGAAGCTGTTGCTTCATAAGAAGATATAAATAAGGCCATAACATGTCAAAAATAAGGTGGATACTTGAAATGAAAATGGGCATTATGATACAGTTAGTTATAGATGAGACTAGCTTCTGTTGACATTTTGATCAAAGCATGCCACATCCTGAGTACGCCTCTTACCCTACCTTATTACAAGTCCCATGCCTTGTTCTTTTTAGAAACAAGGTACCATAGCACGTTCTCTGGAAAAACGACACCAAAATAAGTATAAAAGGGTTTAAATAGAGTTTAGGCATCAAGGGGGCAGTGAAACGAGAATGAATTAAAACGGAAATGTAGCTACATGTTCTGCTACAAAACAGCGGCTCAAATAAATAGATTTAAAAAAAAAAAAAAAAAACGGACTGCTCGTGGCATCTCCAGGAGCAGAAAGATTCAGCAACAAAAGGCTCATTTGGAGAACACCAGAGGCCTGTACTACGAAGCCGGATTTTCGCTTAGCCGGCTAACTTCAGGGAAAACTCGGGCTTTCCGGTCCTACGACGCTGGTTCTCTTAGCGGGCTAGATCTCCATGGTAACTTATGCTGAGCGGCTAACCTCCTCCCGAGGAGGTTATTGCAGGCTAAGAGATCAACTCGGTGAAAGCACCGTCTGCTGACCAATCAGAGCTCCGTGTGCGGAGTTTAAAGCTATCAAGTCATATTACAGGATAGAGGAAATACAGAAAAACTGCCGTTGCAGGAAAGACGGCCGGCAAAAATCAACTGACTGAACGTGAAAAATAGAATATCCCCTCCCATCTTCAGAGCAATCTGACTATTATAACATTAGCGTTAAGAAAGCTTACTTAAATATCTGCCACAACATAAGTAACCGGATCAGAGTAAAATTAAGTACAGTCCGCGGCACTGTGAGCGCAGACGTCGATGTGTCCCATTATCATTCATATCATATCACATCATAATGTATCATATATTTCCTTATCTGAGTCAGCTTCTTGAGCCGTATCTGGCCGTGCAACACTCAGTGTCACATACTGTATGCAGAAGTATTATTTTAAGTTGACGAAACACTCGAGTCAAATGTAATTAAAGTCAGATCCACTCGTGTCTTGGACGGGGCAGTGATATCATAAACCTGTTAATGTACGCATTCAAACGCTTTTTCTTGTACCAGCTGTATTCACCTTGCAGGTGCAGCTATGTGGCTTTTATCCTGGATAAAGTGTTTAAGTCATGGATGTTTAAAGTTTAACTTCTTCATATTTGACTAATATTAAAGTTCACTTTTCATTCAGGAAGTATGACGCTGCGCTGTCAGTACGCTTGTCCATGTTTGAGATTGGTCGAATGCTCCAAATACCACCCCTTTCATGTGAACGCGCACCTAACTAGATAGGACACGGCTGGCTTGAGCGATCCACTTGATAACCAGCGTCGTAGTACAGTTTAACCAGAGCGCGTATGTTTTGGATTGGGCCAACCGGCTAACTCAAACATATCCAGGTTAGGTTGAACCAGCTTCGTAGTACAGGCCTCAGGTAGATCACATGGGAAAGAAGGCTTTGTGTGCACAGTTCAGAACAAATGAAGATCTTACTACAGACACATTTACAAGTGTTAAAATGGTGTAACAATGCAGAAGGCACCAAATGTAGAACTGAAAAGTGCATGAGAATCACTGCGGCTCTACAAGTGAATTCATTAATTTCCAACTTATTAATTAAGCTTTATTTTTCCTTTAAGAGAAAGGACAATGGAAGAGGCACTATCAAATTCACAGTGATGTCATGAGTTAAAAAGGCTTTTGAGTTATCTGATCCTAGGGCCTAATATGACATTTAGGAACATTTTTAAATCTGTTCAGTACAGTAACAATCACAGCTAAATGTCAGAATTGGAAGGCCTTTGAGGCTAAAACATAATGCCTTTAATAATTGACCTAATTAGGCTTTTAAGTATACCAGTCATAAAGTGTCCTCTCTTTTAAAATAATCGGACTGATTACTAACAAATGTAATTTTATATCAGCACTGTTCGACAGTCATTTTTATCTTACCTATGTGACAGTGGGTGTAGCACCAGCTGACTTATCACTTCAGCAACAGTGACACAAGCTGATCAGTCTGACTTTGATCTAAAATGACATCAACGCAGGCAAATTAATTTGCCCTTTTAAGAAGGTCTTTGGATCATTTCAATGTTCCTGCTTTAACAGCAATGTGGTAAAAACACAAAAAACTGGGGAATGCACGAGATAGTGTAAAATGTCCAAATCCGAAATGACAAGAGCTAAGCAAAAGGAGGAGTGATTCTGGTGTCAGATAGATACACGCAGAACAAAGTCTGACACCAAAATATCCAAACATTGCATTTTGCCTAAAAACAGAAAGAAATAAAACTCACATTTACATAAAACTTAAGTTAAAAGGCATTAAATGTTTTCCATAGTCATCTGACATCAGCCTCTCTTGGTCCTTTAAAAAAGCGTTTTTTGCCTTCAGTGTTTTTAGAGTCAGTGCTGCTCCGTCACATACCGCTTCAGTCTCTGTGCTCCGTCTATTTGAGCCGCTGGATGAGTGTGTGCGTCAGTCCCAAGCCGAGCAGCTGAAGGCTCGACAGCTGGGCCAAGTGAGGAAAAGTTTTCAGCAGTTTCTCCCAGGTCAGTTCCAGCAGGCTGGGCACCACCAACCACACTTTGTACAAAGAGCCGGACCTTCGGTTCCCAAACATGTTGACGACGCCGCCATGGACGTACATGCAGCCAGCCTGGAAGGGGGGAAAGTTGCATAAAATAGAGCAGCAGCAATTAGTTGAATACATTTGCAGACATGCATTTAGTGAGCAACCATTTAGAAAAAGTATTAAATATTTTTGTTTTAAGCAAAACGACCAAATATTCTGTATTGTCGGGTTTACTATGAAGATATACTGCTTCTAGATGATTCTAATTTAGAAAAACAGACATAAGAATGTCGCTCTGGGATCTGGGAAATTGAGGTGGACATTTTGTTTACCATTTTCTGGCTACAGACTAAACAATTAAATCAGTTAAAAAAAAACAAAAAAAACATTTAGAGCTGCAGATGACTTGATAAAGACAATACAGATAAGCTGCAGCCCTACAGCACAAAAAACTAGTGTCTGTCTCACTCGTGCAGAGGAGAAGTCTGCAGCCCGAGTTAGAAGTAGAATGTTTGAATGATAGATAACTCACCGGAGTGACGGCAGCGCAGTGAAAGTAGGCTGGTTCTGGCATGGTGGCCAGCAGCTTGGTCCACTGGAATGTCTGCAGGTTGATCTTCCACAGGTCAGATAGGATCAGCTCTCCATTATAACCCCCACATATAAACACCTCTGGAAGTAGAAACAGAGCGAAACTTATATATAAAAGAAATAAACATTTCAGTGTGTCCAGATTATGCCGTGTTAAAAACTCCCTACCATCTTTGACCTGCACACAGCTGTGACAACGACGGGCAGCAGGATATCCTGTTATGACAATTAAATTAGGTAAATTCAATGTGTGGTGCCTAAATACTTTATTCACCAAAGAAAATGAACAAAACACAAACCTATTTTTTCATGGGGTTTGGTGACAATTTCCTCCCAGTAATTTGTCTCCAAGTTATATGCGTGAATCTGATGAAGACAAATGGTGTTAAAAATGAGTTGCACATTGTTTCTCTGAAATATGTTGGTCTATGCATCTTCCCCTCACCTTGTCCATGGGATATGACGTCCAGGAAGTCCCACCTCCTAAAATGTATATTCTCTGTCCATCATGAGCTAGTTCATGTCTGTACCTGTGAAACCATGCATTCATTTTAGTCTATTTTAATGAAAATGTGGGATTCACGGTCACACACACTGTAGTCGTTTACACTATATCTGCAGTCTGACCTCTCCTCAGGAAGATCTGAGGGTGTGTTGTTGGGTTTGAGGTGGGTCCACTCTCTGGTGCTCAGGTCCAGCCGTTGCAGGTCAGTGCTGTAAAGGTAGCCTGTTGTCCCGCCAAACACATAGAGGTAGCCATTTATGATGACCATCGCCTGGGAATGGAGAACAACATTTTAGGACTTGAGCTTTATATCCAGACCAGATTAAGAGAGACGGACGCCGTCACCTGTCCGTAGATCTTGTTGGGTTTCTTCCCTTTGCAGTTGAGGAGGTTCCACCGTTTGTACTGAACATTGCAAACATGGACCTCGTTGCCGTTGTTTTCCCCAAATGGAATCCCAGTGCCACCAAACACAAGCAGGTTGTTGCCGTGTAAAACAGCTGAGAATGATCATTGCTAAACAATTAGTAAATGTAGCTATAAAGTTGTCAAACATAAAAATGCTACTTGCAATAAACAAACAGATATGAATTAGTATTTTCACAGAATGAATGTAATTTAATAACATGTCTTTCACTTTTAATCTTGCAATGACAATGAAATAGTATGTATACTCGTCAGCCCAAGTCTCTACTACAGTTGAATAACTTGTTAAGAATGCCTAATAAGGTTGGTTCAAATCTACTTACTGATCATTTCACATTTCCTGAAGCTTTCAGTTGCAGCTTTAAAAATTACAGTATTAATAAGCATTACATTATCAAATGTAGACCACTAGAAACATCACTAATGCAATGGTTTGAGGAATTGGTCCCTTTGTTGTTTATACCAATATTTACCCTGTGTTTGGCATGTGGTAGGCACCGATTTCATTCCCTGTTGTTTTTTTGGTGCATTACTGCAACCTGTTATTTGTAGAATATTTTAAAGCCTTTAGCATGAATCTGTGTTGAGTCACCTGAATTCAAATATGTCATAAAACGTACACTCCATAGTCCCATATAGTGGTGGTCATAAACGCCAAAGGGTACCTTTAGTGATAATGGTAGGTGGTTCTAAAAAGGAGAACATGTGTGTGCAGGGGAGCAGCATATCAATCTTTACCTGACATAGAAGCCAGCTCTGTGGGCATGTAACCCTCTGTGCGTATCTGCTGCCAGGTGGCCGTAGCAAAATGAAACTTCCAAAGCTCCCTGAAGAGAGGGTAGTCCTCATTCTCGGACCCCCCTGCCTCCTCAAAGTCAGGGTTGTAGCCTCCAAACACATACAGGTTGGTGCTGTCTGCAACACAGCGGTGTCCGCTGCGGGCGGGGGGTACACAGAGTCCTGTGGGAGGAGCACGGTCAAGACACTGAGAGGGCTAATAGATAGAATAGAATCGGAGGGATGAAACCCCTAATGGTCACACATGCAGAGCACACGGCACACAGTGAAATTTGGCCTCTGCATTTAACCCATCCTAGTACCAGGAGTCTAGTACTAGGAGAAGCTATTGTACAGCGCCCGGGGAGCAATGGGAGTGGGGAGGGGGTTGTCCGGTGCCTTGCTCAAGGGCACCACGGCAGGGCCCAGGAGGTGAACTGGGACCTCTCCAAGTAGCAGTCCACACTCCATATTTAGGTCTGTTCGGGGACTTGAACCGGCGACCCTACGGCTCACAGTCCAAGCCCCTACTGACTGTGCCACTGCCGGATGAAAGAGAAAATGGAGCAATTGAACAGCATGTATAAGCATAGATGAAACCATGCAAAATTAAAGAAATTAAACTACAGTTTAAAGGTAGGATAGGTAAGTTTGAGAAACCGGCTCGAGATACACTTGTTATATTCCATGGAATGCTCTTAACATCCTGATAGCAATGAATATCTTAAGTGCTTTGACAAAAAATCGATTAAAAAAAAATGTCATCTGTGGAAGCCGTAGTACTGTAAAAAGCACGACCAATCATTTTAGCCGGCCCGGCTAAAATAACTGGATGGCCTAACTGCCCGTCAGCCTTCCATCTGTGCACAAACTTATCTCGTGCCCTCATTGGTCATGTGCGCGTTCGTGTGTGTTGGAGGAGGGGCTCTGTAAGGAAGTGGCAGATTTTCTCCGGTTGTGTATTTTCAAATTCTAGCACACTCGAGCTGGTGGTTTCTCAAACTTACCTACCCTACCTTTAAGTATACATTTGACAGGAGGGGGTCGATCACAGTTATTTTGTGAATTTACAGCACCTTCTCTCAGAAACCTGTTGGGGATCCGAAGGTTGGGGCAAGAAGGGGAGAAGATGCGCCGAGCCTGAAGCCACCGTGCCCGCTTCTTGGAGCCTGCCAATCACAATAAAAAAGTGAAAAGAAAGAGAGGGTAAGAAAAATAGAGTTAAATACTTAAATTCATACAATCATTCACCTCAAAGTGATTTACAGAGCACGTTTAAAATGGACCACAATAAATACAAGTTTTAGCAAAACTACAACAATAAAATGTTTGAATTCACTAGAAAAGAAATAGGCTCAGGCTAAAAATATATGTCCAGAAGTTTCATTTTCAAATTGTCCAAAGTTAAAGTTGCTCAGATGGGTAATGGGTGCATGTCAGAGGTTGGATTAGGGACATATCTGAAAGATTTGACACTTTCAGAAGATATGAAGAAATAAGAAATAAATACAAATCGTTTTTTGAGTCTTATATTTTAAATGTGTACTATCTAGTACTAGTAGATACCGTTAGGGTGTCTATTGGCAGTGGCTGGGGGGTTGTCTGGGTAAACATGTTGTGGAGTTAAAGGCCGTTTCAGACATTGAACTTACATAATATTAACTTTTTTAAACTCACTGTCGTATGCAAGTAATGGATATTCGTTTTCATTATAACAGTGCGGCAACGTGTACTGTTGTCCGAGCAGTGTCTCCACCATGAAGTTTATACTTGTACCATTCAGTCTCCCATGATGTAATCCCCATTTAAAGTGAATAACTATCACAATAGCGCTGTAGATGCCTGCTGAGAGTTCATTCCCTGATGTCTACTGGCTTCCGTAGCACGTTAGCTAGCTGTGGCCTGTGTGCACCACTGTGTGCACCACATCGCTTTATCACAGACAAACTCAGAAACAGGAGTCTACATAAAAGGCAAGAAAAATACTTACTTGAATTACAATTTAATTTTCGATTTGCTTTGCTGTCTACAACATGCTGCTCGTTGTTGCAGAAGGTTTGTTTACAGACCTGAGTCGCGGATGGAGGGCCTCCACGACAGTTTCTCAAACTTATTGAACTGACTCCCGTCCTGCTCGGCCGAAGACATCTCGACAGGGAGCCACACACACACACCGGCTTCACACCTGAACCGACACACGCTTCAGTGTGACTACACGGAGTGGCATGGAGCTGCAAGCACAGGCAATCACAGCATAATAAAGAAATCTTACTAACGAGCGTCCACACCTGCTGCTGCCCACCACCGGCAGCTGGTCTGCGCTGACCAATCAGAGGAGGGGGAGCCCGCATGTCGTGTTCAAGAGCCACATGGCCGTGTTTATATGTTTGGAAAAACTGCAGCGATCCTAAATGTTTACATACAGTATGTAGAATATGTTTAAAGAACAGCTTAAATATAGAAGCAGGTTTAGCATTCAATGTGTGTTTGGATTACAAATCATTTACTTACCCCAAATTAGTGCCACATGTAAAACAACTCAGATATCTTAACCCTTAATGTAGCAATGCTAGAAGTGCTATGTTACTCAAGTAAGTACAATTTACTTTTAATAAAAAATAATGAACATTCCCATCAGCATTTAATAAAGGTGATGCCTTCGAATGCTTGTGTCTGGTCCAATTTACAGTTTATAACATTTGCATTCTCATAAAACAAATGATCCCAAGTGATGTGATAAGTAAACCAATAAATGTAATACACATGAACAATTAGTAGATTATCCGAGACTGATTTGACGTCTATTTTCTGCCAGATAACTGCACATAACTTAATCTGATAAAGTTAAACATCTGGGATGTACATGGTGTGGCAATATCCCTTAAAATAAATGACCTTACAACACTACTTTTTAAATTGCTTGCAAAATATAAAACAAGATTAACTTGACATGGTAGATAAGGAACAACTGTTGAGTGACTATGAGAAGAACAATTGGTTGGAGGATCAACCTTTAACCCAGATCTTCTGGTGCTGCTTTGCTGACATGTGGTAATCTTGATTTGAAGCTCATTGGGATAGGATGAAAGAGCAAAACAGATCAATCCCCATGAGAGGCTGCTAGGGCTTTTCCCACATAGACTGTGTGAAACAAAGTAGGCCTACAGTTTAGAATTGTAAGCAAGAGTTGTATCAGTAACTCTCACAGAACAAATAGTGATTGTGAATAGAGTAGATCATACAATCTCTTTTGTCTTGAGTGTTTACCTGCAGTTAACAGTCTTAACATTACACTAAAACACTTCGGAGCAGATTTTTTTTTGCAATGTGCATGCGGTCATGTTAATGTTTGCATTTAACGACATTGCTGCTATGACCCTATATTTGTAACAATAAAATATATTTTTGTTCTGCATTTCTAGCCTGTTTCTGCTGAGGTCGCTGCCCACAATGCACCAATTAATCAACTTAAGTTCCATGTCGTCTACCATGTTTATTCACAAGTTTCCCTTTGACATGCAACTTCACGGTGGTGGTGGTACCATGGTGGTAATTTTAAGTAATTTTAGGTTATTTGTTAGCAGAGATGATCAGTCATTTAGTTTATGTAACCTTGTCCTCCAAAAGATTATGTGTAGGAAATGAAGCCAGTCTATGATGTTTCTTTTCTGATTTTATGTAAAGCGTCTTTGAGCATTAGTAAAAGTGCTATACAAATCCGATGTGTTATTATTATCATGAAAAGTCACTGACAGCATAAAAACTGTTGTACAGAGCTGCAGCTGTGAGATTAAACAAGGGACGAGTTTACAGCATTGTTTCATTCCGGTGATCTACTCAAAGATTCATGGAGGTCGTCACTGGATACCCTCTCATCTAGAGTGATAAGTCTGACTGGCAGATGCACTACATTCATGATTTCTGTTTGTTCATGACTGAAGAGACTCAAACAGATAACCAAATTATTCTGAATGGTGTAATTTACATAGGCCATTTTAAGTAAGCCAACCAAAGTATTGTTTGTATTAAGATGGAAACATGGAAAGCCAATAGACATCAACTGGCACAAAATGATAGCTTGAACAAGAGTTTTACTCTGGTAAGCAATGTTGTGCACAGACGCTGACAAAGATGACACCACTTAAAATCCACCAATGTCCTGAATTCAAAAACATGGAGATTTACAAACTCAGATGTAAATAACAAAAGCATGAAAGGGTTGCTTGCTTTGTTGAATTCCAAAGTGTCAAACATGTAAGGAAGAAGTAGCATACTACGAATATTTACCCCTCAACATACCCTCAACACAGAACAGAACCACAACATATTCAGAAAAGTGTGTGCAACATGTGACAAAAGAGTAGTGAGAGCTCTGTAAACTTGGAATAAGAGCAGATTAATTATTTCATATGTGTGTTCTTGTGTTGTCACACATTTTGTTTAAGTCTTATTCATGGATCTCTTCTTGGCTCCAGACGGCTGGAGAAACTCACCTGACATCATTGAAACAAAGGTTTCTGACACTGTACTTGTTGTTGTCATCGTATGACAAGCAATGGTCCCATGACCTGAGGAGGTCATGTGAGATTCTCAAGGCATTTATGATTTGGGAATCCAGCATTACATATATATATCTAATAATTTAATGCAAAGGAAATTACACCAAGTACAATTCAAAAAGTTGTAGAATCAAATACACCAATAATAATGAAATATGCTGATCTAACTCAAGTGCTACACTTAGAGACAACAGGAGACTCTAAGATGAGTTTTCAGTCCAATTTTAAGGCCGTAGTACTTTCCTTGAGTATTTCTATGTTATGCTACTCCCGTCTTCTGTTCAATAACATTTTAGAGGGAGATATTGTAACTACTTTTTCCTCCACAATGTCTAACAGCTTTAGTTGTATACAGATTTACCAAACTGATACAATTAACTAATGAATTATAATGTATTATTACAGACTACCTATCAGCATATGTGATGAGTCAGCTCCACTTATGCAATATTAAAATTATGAACACATTAATGCCTCACTAGTTATAATCCACTCATGATTCTGGAATTAGCCATATTGTATAATTAGAGCTTTATGTATGGTTATATATTTTTGATGCAAATACTTAAGTAGGCCTACTTGTCGTAATTTGAAAGAAAAAAATTATATTTTGTTATTGCGGGTTTGCTAATTTTTCTTAAATGAGCAATTACTTGAGTGAGCTACATGTTTCAATGCTACTTTTATTAAGCTATGTGTCTACTTTTATCATATTGTGTCCTTTTACTGACTGTACTAGACATGTTAATTCTTCACCAATTGATGGGTATTTACCAAACTAAAGTCAGATAAGACGCTAAAATGACTGCGAAAACACAACTTTGGCCTAAAGTGTTTTTTGCAGCCTTCCTATACGTTAATTTTGTCATAGATGTGGCATTAATAGAAAGGCAAGCACTTTTACTTTGCACACTATTTCACCAGATGAGATAAAAAAACAACTCAAATCTGCATACATCTTTTTAAAATATCGACTTCCATCTTTAAAGGTATGATCACAGCACTTTTATTCGCTGACTTTGATGACTCACTAACAGTGTAAGTGTGTTCTGTGCGGTGTATTTCTATAGCTCAGCCCCTCCTCTCGCAGTCTGGTGGCTGGAGGTTGATGTCAGTCTTCAGGACAGGACACTGGAGCAGAAACACTGAAGATCCGCTGAGGAAAAGTGGGCGATGTTGCAGTTAGGATCTTGTTTATGGACATTAAGGAAAGGCTTTTGAGAGTTTGTAGGAATTTCCAAGCGGAAAGGTTGAGGTAGCCTTATCGTCGCAGTATTTTTAAATCACTTCTGAAAGGAATACAAAAATGTCGTCTCCAAGTCCGGGCAAGAGGCGAATGGATACCGACGTGGTGAAACTGTATCCTTTTCTGAACATAAACAAGCCTAAATACACAACTAGGCTTCTTTTATAATCATTTGTCAGCTCTATTATGTTGATAAATGACAGTATTTGGTCCCGATGGCTGCTACAATGATGTATATTATGTTCTAGCTTTGTGATATTAATAGATTTGGTTAAAAGTGTGTAATGCTAAACAGTTGGATGTTAATGGTTAGCTCTGTGTCTAACCTTAGATTCTGCGGGGTTGGCATACGTTAGCCACCTTAGCTAATTGTTCAGTTAGCAGTATAGCGAGGAAGCTACACATTTAACGTTATTTATGTGAAGTCACTCGCCATTGTTAGCTTGCTAATACATAAGCGATGGTGTTCTTGTTTTTATCAATCGAATTAGCAACGGGATCTGTCGCAATACAACGCTGGCTGGAAACTCTGTGTTAGCTATAAGCGTTGTTAGCCTTAGCTCGGAAGCGATAAGTTAGCCTGTTAGGCAATGATACGTGGTCCCCCCGGACTGACAACACAATGTGAAAGACTGGCGAGGAATATTTAGCATTTAGAAAACGCTTCTTTGGACAGACGTTTGTTTTTTCACGATTTAGCAACGTTAACGTCACGGGAGCTAGCTGTGTAGCATGATACCACGAAGGGAGAACAAATAAGGTCAATGTAGCGTAACGGAGACGATCTTTGTCAACAGCCAACTACATTAATTAACGTTAGATAACCACGTTTGACCTTTTGTGCTTTCAAAATTGCTGTCTCAATACAACAAAATCATGTTTCATATTGTCGATAAACAAAACTCACATTTTATTTATAGTGAATAAATCACGATTGGCGTGTTTTCAACAAACGATTCAAAAATAAATAAAACGACTTGTGATATTTTTATAGAATTTTAACGACGCTGAAAAGGGAAACAAAAGCCAATGGATATGTTTTTATTTTAATTACACTTTTTTTCTCACCACTTTTTGATGTCACATGATGTTTATGTTTTATTTGTATTTGGTACTATTGGTAATTATTCGCAGTTATCAGCTAAAGTTTGCATGAGAGGATTTCTGACAGCGTGAGCAGAATTGTTTTGTTTTTGTCCTGCAGCTAGATGCTGCTCTCTGATTGGTCAGACTGTTACCATCCGGAACATGGTAGAGGGCGGGGCTTCACACACAGCTGATCGAGGAAAAACAAGCGTGCTGTAGGGGCGCATGCAGGGAGGGGGGCACGGGACATCCTGTCCATGCATTGGGGGTGGAGGGGGGGGACATTAAAATATACTGACGCTGAGTGGGTGACCATGTTGATAACAGGAACGAGGGCCTTTTTTTAATAGAGTGGCATCTAGTGCTGAAACAGCTAAATAAATATATTATATTATTATAAATTAGCTAGTGCATTAGTCAGTCAAATGAAAACTAATCAGCAACAATTTGGATCAATTGATCACATTTAAAAAAG